ATTGTACAGTGGCATTAAGTGCCGAAATATACACCGTTGCCTACTCCTTCGGGGATAAAATGGCGTGATGTTATGTAATGTGTGTTGATTTATTCTCTTTGATTCGTCTAATTCTTAGTATTAATCTTAGTCGATTTGTTAGGACATCACGTTCCCCAGTGTCATTTCAAACACTATACCTCTACAATATGCATTGAATGCGTAAAATGTGAACGTCCTTGAACTCGATCTTTTATACGTAACTCTTGATTTACTAAGCCAAGGTTTGCATTGGTTTTTATACCAAGTGCACTTAAAATGTTTGTCCAGTCGTGGCTCTGTTTATCATGCTGTGAAGTTGGTAGATATCTTTGTAATCGTATAGTTAAATCTTGTTGTTTTATATTCGGTCGTTTTTTCTTTCAATTTATCTGATTTAAAAATAGAATAAGACTTTTATCTCATTGAACTGTTCGCACTTTTTTTCCTTTTATGCCTGTGTTGCACGTAGTAAGTGCACAATAGCTCATAAATAGCTATTGTGTGTTATAGTTTCTATTATAATAACGGGAGAACTTATTGCAATATATTAAGACCCAGATTCAAATTGGTTACGACATTTAAAACTTTTTTATTTGTTTAGCTAATCTGTTTTATTATCACTAGGTACTTCTTATGCATATCTACTCTTGAATTAAGACGCCCATTTAATTCTTGGCTCATCAAATATAAAAAACGATGGCGATAATGTATTTTAGGAGATTGACGTACCTACTTATTGTTATGTAGGTACTATTATCAAAGTGTCTGGGGAACCACCTAAGTACCGCATACGTATTTGGTAAACACATTTCCATATTTGCCTTACTTTAAGCGATAACCTCGGCTAAGGAAAACAATTCATAAATATACATTAAATACGGTGAGGTTTTCCCCGAACTATTAAGAACAAAAATGTGTTCTACAAATTGGGCAATGCTATTATTCATGCAGCATTCAGACTGCTTCGTTGGCCGAGTGGTCGCAATTGCAACTGCCGGGCAAGGGGTCTCGGGTTCGATTCCCGGGTCGGGCAAAGTATTACTGAGCTTTGTCAAAAATTCTCAGTAGTAGTACGGAGTCTGAAATTGTGCCCGGTATATGGCAATAAGCTCACCCCTATTACATGGGACTCATAACATAAATAGTGAAAAGTTGTGTTACATTGTACAGTGGCATTAAGTGCCGTAATGTACACCTATGCCTACCCCTTGGGGGATAAAAGTCGTGATGTTATGTTATGATATGTTATTAGTTAAAAATGTAATACTTAATTATCACATCTTAGTCAGACACATAGATACATACGTATTGTAGGTTCAAATGTCTCAGTTCTATAACGATATCTCTGAAGAGTTTAAATAAGTAAAGAGGTCAAACTCGATTACCGAACAGCAACAATTGAAATCGATTGTTATGCACAACATAATCAATGTAATAGAAAGTTAGTATTCGTGTTACGTTATACGAGCACATTGGACATCAAATTATGGATTCCAGTCAGCTAAAACGGATCGTGATGAAAGTGATCGTGAATGAGAACGTAATGACAGGCCAATTACGGTCTGGCCACGAAACCAGTAGCACGACGACGACATCCTCAGTATTATCGACAAATTTGACTTATTTGGACCATAAACTTACAATTGAAGGGAGATCTTTGTTGTTTTCAACCGACTTCAAAAAAAGGAGGAGGTTCTCAATTCGACCCGTATGTTTTTTTTTTTTTTTTTTTTT